TATCTTGGTACCGCATTTTCCGACAGGTCTCTCAAGTCACAAGAACCGATGGTCGCTGAATGTGTCGACCGCCTTATTGAGAAGATTGGAATGGTAGACGTGGGGACTCAAGGAACCGACATGGTCATGTGGTTCAATCTCGCCACCTTCGATATAATTGGAAGCCTGGCTTTTGGCAAGGACTTCGGCGGTGTCGAGTCGGGCAAGGAGCACTTCTGGATTTCGATCGTCACCAAAAGCTTGCGTATGGGGGCTCTCGCCGACTGCTTTCGCAGATTTCCAGCCCTCGCCGGCATTGCCCAGACAGTGTTTTCTGGCCTTATTGACAAGCTTCTCAAAGACAGTCGCACGCATCAAAAGTACACCATGGATTTGGTTCAAAGGTTTGACTGCAAACATCTCATGGGCAAACGCCGTCTTTTTGTGTTGCAACGCTAAGGCCCTTTTCTGGTAGTCGCCTGGCCTCACAGTCGGACCGAGAAGATTTCCTCACCAAAATGATCGAGGCCCGTAATGAGGCGGCAATATCGGACGCCCAGATTGGAGCACACTCTTCCGACTTTGTGTAAGTCGCCCACGTTATTCCTCTATGAAACGGACTCATAATCCTTTTCCAGCATTGCCGGCAGCGAGACGACAGCCACTACTCTTTCTTGCATGACGTACTACCTGCTCAAGAACCCTGCGATTCTGGCGCGCTTACAGGATGAGGTGCGGTCAGCTTTTGTTAGCTACGAGGATATTACTGCGGCGACGGCAACTCCATTGAAGTATCTTAGAGCCGTGGCGCAGGAGGCTATGCGCGTCTATCCTCCGCTTCCTTTTGCCCTTCCCCGTGTAGTGCCCAATGGTGGCTGCACGGTTGATGGTCATTTCTTGCCAGGCGGGGTGCGTACTTAAATTGCCTTGCCTTGAGTACTCTTAGCTCACAAAAATTCATCCCAAGACCACAGTTTCGACCAGTACCTTTGCGGCAAGTATGTCATCTTCGAACTTCGACGAGCCGTGGGAATTCAGACCTGAGCGGTGGCTCGTGGACAACCCAACGGATGACCTCGATGCAAGTCAGCCGTTTTCATATGGAACGCGATCATGCATGGGACGAAGGTGAGTTCCCAATAATGACATGGTGGTTTGAGGCACGTGCTAATCATCAAACATCGCAGCCTTGGCTGGATGGAAATTCACACAACTATGGCGAAGCTGGTCTATAGGTACGACTTGGAGCTCGCTGACGAGAGTCTCGACTGGCACCGGGATTCAAGGATGCATACGTTGTGGGAGAAGCCTCGTCTGATGGTGAAGCTCAAGCCCCGTGTGTTTCTCTAACATGCCGGCAGCTATAAATCAGGCTTCGCGGAGAAGCTTTCGAATTTTCGCACTGTTTAGTTGTGTTCATGATGCTTAAAGGTCTTCGAGAATTATTAGCCCAAGACCAAAGTCTTGAGCGCCGACCACGCTTTGCTAGGCTGACACTATATTCCTGCAAAGATGGTTCGTCGGTCGTGATATGAAGCAAATTTGAAAATTAAATGTGCATGAACATGAAATATTGATCGTGACTTTTCCTCACTCTCGCACCTCTTATAGCCTTTTACAGCCCTGGCGCGGCTGATTCTTACCGGCTGTGAAGGCGCTCGTTGGCATCAATCAAGGTGTTCTGTGCGTAAAACGGACCATGAGTGCGGGTTTCCACCACATCACATGTAGTTGGCTTTCCTGTTCCCAATCTAAATCTTTGTCAACCAGCTCTAGGTCGTACTGCCACAGCATCTTGGCCAAGATGAGATTGATTTCCATGTATGCGAAGCTTAATAGTCGTATTAGCATGGGATCGCTTGTAAACTAGGGTGCGTTCGCAAAGCGTTAAGGGCTGTAAAACTCACTTTTGTCCTAAGCATCCCCGAGGGCCCATGGAGAATGGCTGGCTAGCCTCGCGGACATCTGTGGATCCCGCGTCTAGCCAGCGTTCAGGCTTGAAGCTTTTCGGGTCAGAGAAATACCCTTCGCTATGCGTCAGAGTCCACGCGTGCGTGAAGACCTCAGCCTATAGGCACTCACATTAGACTCCATGCTTTTGATTGTGCTTCAAGTTTACTTACACCCGCTGGGACGTAGATATCGCCGACATTCATGCCTGGGGATAATCGCGGAAACCCCTGAGAGCCCGGTGCATACAGCCTAAGGCCCTCGCTGATGACGGCTTGCAAGTATGGGAGCTGGCGAGCTGCAGTGGCATTGATCTCTTCGAATGAAGAGAATTTTGCCGTTATCTCTGTTTGAAGCTTTAGTAGACACGCTGGATTTCGGAGCAGATAGTATGTCGCCGCGGCAAGGAATGTCGCAGTCGTCTCGCCACCCGCGATTCTGTGAGTATATCGTTAGCAAAACCTCGAGCATTCCCAAATGACCTTGAACTGAGGGGACGCACGTCAAAGTTGACACATGGGCTGTCATCTCTTCTTTGCTGATAGCTCCCACTTCGTAACTCTTGACAACGGTAGACAGAAAGTCATTGCGGTTTGACTTTTTGGATAGACGTCTGTAGTTCAAGGGTTAACAATCAACCATGAGCTACATGCACACAAGCGTGAGGTTAGTATTTTACGTACTCTTCGACCTTTTTTCGGCTATACTGGGAGTTCTGATTTTGGACAGCAAGAGTGGACGGGAGTAGCACGCGGGCTACTGTAGCCACAAAAGGGAGACGACGAAGGTTGTCAACCAGTGTGATGAAGTATAGATGGCTGACTATGATCTCCGACCAGCTGTGTGGCTTTCCTATAATGCGAAGTGATTAATATTACGATGTTCTGCTTGGCCATCTCCGAGCTAAAGCTTTGGGCTTGAAACTCTCAACTTCTATTTACTTACCAGCTTTGACACTATGAAAGGATTCGCCAAACGCCATTTCGCCCAAGGAGTCAAAGGCTATCATCTCATACCACTTGGTCATGTTGAGACCCTCAGTTCGGAAACGATCTTCCCCAAGCCGATGTACGAAAGCGTCGACTGTCTTGGTAATAATATCTTCCTGGTCCAGCAACATCTTTGTGGAAAAGGCAGCAGAGAGCATTTTGCGCATTTGGCCGTGCTTATGAGGATCACGCTCACTGCCGATGCATAATGATTTGAAGCCTGCGCCATAGATATCGTAAAACTCGCTTTTGATCACTGGTGCTGCGCCTGCAGCGCGGTGGCCGTAGATTGCCTTCCACGACTCTACTGAAGCAAAGGAGAGCTCATTGGGAGATATTCGGACAACGGGCCCTATCAACGTTCAATTTACTAAGTATTTTCCATGGCTTGGGGGAGAGAAAGGCCCTACCATGTTTGCGATGCTGCTCTTGGATGGCGTAGTGAAGGCGGCCAGTCTGAGAGTGAAAGATTCGCCAGATCTATGGCGAGAAACTTGAGCATTGCAAATCCAACTAGATACAGCTTAGGCGTACTCACCAGACTGCATCTTCCTAATAGCGGTCCTGGGAACGCGGCAAGTTTATGGAAATACGCATTATAAGTGCTGGCTGTCAAGAGGTACAAGACGACCTAGGTACGTTAGTCTTGAGTTCCAGTGAAGCTTTGTGCCATTCAGAGTAGTTCTTACAAGACACAATGATAGAGCGGCAGCGCTTGAGACGGTTAGCTGTGCAACTCTTGCTTGAAGAAGGTGTAAGCACTCTTGGTGTGAAATGGCTCGATCAAGCATCGCGTCCCTTGGAACATCAACTGATGCTCTTAAGCATTTACCACTATGCTCGATGTGTTTGCTAGCAATCTAGCCTGTGAAATGTCGCTCTAAATATTACAAGCTTTGTTATTCCTTTTTCTGGTGACCTAGCAAAGGTCGGCGTTGTATCGCTGACGGATCCGAAAGACATATTGGGTGCGCAGCGTAGGTCTTCGTCTCATCGGCCAGTTTCCGTTTTCGGAAGTGAGGTTTCCAATCATCACCGCGCTAAACCTTTCTCAGTAAATCCCGAGAAATGCCCCGAACAGCAACGCTCCTTGCACCAGTTACAAATAAAGCACCGAGAATGGCCATTAATATACAAGAGATCAACATCCAACAATTCTTGATAGCGGCAAAAGTCAGCCAGTTTCGACTGAGTGCGGCTGACTTTGAGTCTCATCAGCGCGACATTTATGCCGTCAGGTGCTATCGAGAGGGAAATTGTCATGATGTGGCATAGTCAACAGGACCAGTTTTCACTCTTCGAGACAGAATTGTCAGTTCTCAAAATCTGTCTGATCAAATCAAACTTTGTAACAATGCGAGGTATGCCTGGATTAATGGTCATCAGTATGGCGTCGGCAGAATGGCTCCAGGGCTGGACCACAAGTGTGTCTTTCAAAATCCAACGATGCCGCCAACTCTTCGCATTTCGAGGCATTCTTTCACAAAAATAGGTTTATTTTCATCCTCAGATTATGGAAAGACCGGCCAAACTTACCTCGTAGGCAAAAAATACACAACAGTGGCGGAAACCTGTACGAATGAACCGCGCCTCAACACGAGCCTCGTACGCCTCAACACCTCAGCCATGTGGGCGGCCCGTAAAACTGTCTATGTTTGGCAGTAAGCTCGTAGTTCACGTCAAGAAGGGCAACATCCCATCTTTTCCATCTCAACAGTGTCCCTCGGCTATGTCATATGGATGCGGCAATGCACCCGGGCGGGATCACTTGATTGGGGAGCTGTGCATGAACCCGACTTGACGACTTCAGATAAGTTCTCCGAGGGGAGCCATCACGAACGCCGCTCTGTCGCAAGACATCCGCATTGTGGGTAGCTTACCATCTGGCGGGTTCACTGCTACGGACCGTTGTTGAGATGGATTGGCTTCTACCGATCGGCTTCTAGCGAAACCAAAGGTTATATAGATCCCCCTTGAAGTCTGGTCGAAGGTTGGCATGTTGCCACTTTCTACCAACAACTCTTTGATTCCAGTTACATCCAACAGAAAACAGTCTGACATATAGCAAGTCGATCACTCATCATGTCACTCAGCGTAACAACCGTACCCGACGAAGTCACCAGCATCTCTCCCATCTCTCACCTCAACAACAAGGCCCCAGGTATTACCCAGAAAGCCATCCAAGAAATATCTACCTCCAACGATGGGTACTTCCGCTTCAACCCAGTCATCGTCATGCTCGTCGGCTACCTCGAACAAGTCAGCCCAGGAGGCCTAGACTCCGCAGTTCGCTCCGCCCGCGACAAGAACCCAGACTTCATGCCCAAACTAGCCATCAAAGACGCACACTCGTTCCTGACCTTCGCAAACGACCTCCTGAAATGGGTGCCCCGCGAGAGCTTCGAAGGCAAAGACGTCTACGACATCCTCTGCACGTTCTACTTCGTCCTAGACCAACCCCCTCTCCGCAAATTCCAAACTCCAATCCGCCCAGACTCGCAAGGCCTTACCTGGCTATCCTCCTGGATCGTAGTCTACGCGCAACTCGTCGGCCAATTCCTCGACACACCCGCCTCCATCACCCCTTCCTCCCTCCAATCCTTCGCAACCTCACTCCCTACCGCTTCCATGAAGCAGAAATCCCAAAAGGCGGTTTCCGGACCTTCAACTCCTCCTTCACCCGCCGCCTCAAACCGGGCCTTCGACCAATCGCCTCCCCCGACGACGACAGCGTGATAGCCTACCCAGCAGACTGCACCTATGACAACTCCCTCGCCAACCAAAGCGTCGCCAAAATCACCCCGTACGGCTCCGTCGAGATCAAAAACGTCCGCTGGCCGATCAGCATGCTGCTCCAGGGCAGCGCTCACGCCGCAGACTTTGACGGCGGGATCTGGATGCACGCGTTCCTGAATACCACAAACTACCACCGCCAACACGCGCCCGTGTCGGGCACGGTGTTGGAAGCCAAGAACATCCAGGGCATGGCGCACCTCGAGGCCGATACCGTCGGCGACGGACAGGTTCGCATGATGGGCGGGGCGAACGCTTCCGAGAACCCGGGGTATCAGTTCCTTCAGACGAGGGGGTTGGTGGTGATTGAGAACCCGGTGCTCGGCAAGGTTGCGTTCTTGCCCATCGGGATGGCCATGGTATCGTCTGTGGACTTGTTTGTCGCAGAGGGGGGTGTGGTGAGGAAGGGGGACGAGGTTTCGTGTTTCCGGTTTGGAGGGTCGGATGTCATTTGCATCTTCCAGGAAAAGGCCGGGTTGAGGGTTGAGGATTTCATTCCAACGGCTGGTGGGTTTTCAAAGTATGGGAGCATCTTGGCTAGAGCGCCGATGGGAGGTTCTCGCATGTAAGTCAGGCTTTCAGAGAAGTCGTCCAACGTCTAGACACGTTCTTGGATCGTTTCCTTTGAGATCTTGCTCTAGGCTGGCACCTAAAGAAGATGTAATCAAAGCTGCTGAACTTCGCGATATTTGGGACTAGGAGTTTTTCTTTCGAACAAATTACAGCCATGGAATTGAAGACAAAACAAAGACAACATGATCAAAAAGAGAAGTTGCGTCAATCGCTGACGGGAATTGAGCCCGACGTGGCTAGTGCTTGTTAGTGACATGTCCTAGAGAACACGAGAGAAATAGGGAAAGTAGCTTACGGGTCGAACCCACAACCTTGAGATTAAGAGTCTCACGCTCTACCGATTGAGCTAGCCGGGCAACCGGCGTATATACTAGGGTTGGATGGGTTCCTCAGGTCCAGGATGGCTTCATGTTCTGGATTTGCTAATTTGTGGTTCTGTGTCCAAGTGGGGAGAAGAGAAAAGATTTTGGGAAATCCCCATTGTGGGTGTAGGGTGGGACACAATAACAAAGCGCGCATCGTGATGTATGTGGGGAGTGGATGTCTTGAAGGTTGGGTTGTGTTCAACATTAGCTTAGATTTGGCGTACTTTGAGTAAGTGAGTGGCTCACTCGCAAGTTGCATGGATCACAGAGCCATTTCTAGTAGTCGAGGCTCATCTCTCTCTTTTTCATCAGTCGGCTATGTTGTCATGGCGTTCACAAACGGCACAGTCATGTTAATCAACAACCACAAGACCGCGAACGAGGGCATACTGAAAGAACGCAGATAGTCTCTATTAGCCGCTACGCAGGCACACAAAGCCATGCGGAGGATGCTCGCTTGGAAGGGAATCGCCCTCCATGCGCTAGCTATCCGGGCAACCCCAAAGAAGGGGTTCGATTACTGAGTTTTGAGAAAAAAAGAAGAGTCCCATCCTTCACCGACTCAGATGTCCCCTTCAAACAATCATGACCAAGGCCAACTCAGGGCTCGGGTTGGCTTACTGGCCTTCCTATTCTAATCCTAGCGAGAAGTGCCTCTGGTGGCCCTGTTGATGCATCCATTCTGCATCGCGCGGAACATGACACGACGGTGAAGTGCATCGGTCGAGGATGCAGAGCTCTCAGATGAGGCAACGGGCCTGGGACTCTCGCTAGACAGACCACTCTAGTGTCCTCTAGCCAAGAACGCAGGTGCGCCGCTGCCGATGATGGGGCTTCCGATCTCGCCTGGTGCACCTACGGGCCTGTGGGCAGGATACGCCATGTCGTTGAACTCGGGTACCCATCGCATCAAGTGCTGCCCTGGGCCGTTTGCATCCAACTGGACCTCAAAGGTGCCGCCACCATTCTGCAGGTTGCCTTCTGTTTCGGCGAGAGCCAACAGATCAACTTCAGGGACAGACTCAGTCCTATTGAGCTGGTCAACCTCTGCCTTGACCGCTGCTAGATCAACAAAAGACTCTGAGCTCTCCGGGTTGCGGGCTTGCAGCTCCTTGCAGGCGCGACACATCATGAGCCGAATCGTCACTGAACGAGGGTTTCCCGCCGTACGGATCGGAGGCATAGGCTGCATCATAGTAGGGCTTCCCCAGGTCGAGTTTCCCACTCCGGGGGCCACGGTGTATGACATTGGTGAGGGTCCCCACAAGCTATTGTTGATGCTAGAAAACCCATTGTCGAATGGCAGTGGAAACGCTGACCGTTGCAACTGGCTACGGTGCCTTGCCGCATTGATTGCTGCGTTCATCGGGTCCGATGCATCATCTACCAGGACGCTGCTGCCAAGATGCTGTTGGTTTGTGAAGTCGTCTGATGCGTCATTTCGGTGTCCCTGAACCACACTACCTGGTCGTCCAATGGGCGCTGGCCTGCCGATAGGCTGTGTTGGAATTGGCGATGAAGCTGGGTCGAAGCTGCCGGAATGTTGTCTCGAATGTGATCCGGGTCCTGGCGCCATGTTTTGCATATGGTCGCCCATGGGCTGTGGGAAGCCAGGAGGTGGGCCGGGCATGAAGCCACGTCCAGCTGGCCCGTTAAGACCGGGCGGAACGGCCATCATGCCTAGAGGGGGAGGAGGTCTGCCAAACCCGGTAATACCAGGCGGACCAAAGATGTTTGGGTCTGGCAGACGATTTCCCAGACCTGGCGGCGGGTTGAAGCCGGGTGGAGGCATGCTCATAGGCATGCCAAAGGGGCCAGGCTGCATCGGTCCTTTCATACTCGAAGGTGATATGGAATTGGGATGGGGTAGCGAGCTTGTGGTCGCCGCGCTAGTCTTCCATGAACCAATCGGCCCAGGACTCATGCGGCCGGGTGTCGCAGGGTGTGGCGATGGGTTTTGGCTGGCAGTAGAGCCTGATCGCGAAGCTTGGGATTCAGGCAAGCTGGTGTCCAGTGGCTGAGAGGCATGCTTAGGACGGATTGGTGTCGGAGCTTTGGGAAGAGCCGGTGTTGCAACGGGTATCTTGGGGGACGCATAGGATGCTGGGTTGGATGGATGTGTCGGAATCGGTACTGGGTGTTGCGATAGTCGCCGGCCGGAGGTGGGGATGGGAATAGGAGCAGCAGCAACCGTGGCAGCCTTTTGGGCAGCCTTTTCCTCCTGCTTGATGCGATCCTTGCTTTCCTTCTCAGCCTTGGCCTTGGCCTCCTTGTCGCGTTTGGCCTGTTCCTGCTTCTCTTTGCGCTCACGGAGCTCCTTGTCCTTCTGGTCTCGGATTTCCTGTTCGCGTAATCGTGCTTCTTCCTTGAGCTTCTGAGTCTTCTCGCGGGATTCGCGCGCTTTGCGTTCTTGCTCCGCGCGCTTCTCTTGCTGTTCCTGGAGTCGGCGTTGTCGATCGGTCTCTTTGCGAAGGCGTTCTTCTTCTTCCAGTCGCTTCTGCTCTTCCTTCTTTCGACGTTTCTCCTCCGCTCTCATTCTCTGCTCTTCCACCTTTCGCCGCTGCTCCTCGAGTCGAGCGGCCTCCTCTGCAGCCTTCTCGGCCTCCTTCCGCGCCTTCTCCTCGGCCTGTTGCTGTTTCTTCAGCGCGGCCTTGTCCTTGCGCTTCTGGTTCTCTTTGGCCTTCTTGGCTTTCTTCTGAGCGGTTTGCCTATTTTCCTCCTCGAGTTCCTCGATGAGCTGTTGCTGGCGTTGCTTGGCGACCATGTCTCGATAGGCTGTCAGGACCCGTTGCTCAAACATTCGAGCGGCGAATATTTGGAACATGCGACGACCCTCTTCCATGCGCTGTTCCTCGGTCATCGTGTCCTGATGATGACAACAGTAATGCTCAGTACTCGAGTGTTTATGGTCATATGTGTATTGAGAGGAGCTCACTTCTTCATCCTCGTATTCCTCTTCTTGACTGTCATCATAGTCCTCATCCTCCTCCTCATCTTCGTCGTCATAGTCGTCTTCGGGAGGAGGATGGTTATGATTCGAGTAAGAGCCGTTGGCGGGATGAGCGTAGCCGCGAGAGAAGTGCTCCTTGGCGTCCTCTTCTCGGGCCATGCGGCGTTCGGCGAGCTGCTCCATCATTTCGATGAAACGCTTGCCGTCGTTTTTGAGGAGGTCATCCGCAACGGTGAGTATGCCGCCTAAGTCCATGTTACCATATCTGCAGAGTAGGGAGTCCAGAAGCTGCATACCCTTGACTTGCAGGCTGTTCCCAAACGTCAAGAAGTCGGCAACGTCTCGATCGTGAGGGTGAGTATCTTCGGGGGGTTCATCTTCGTCGCTGTACTCGTCGTCTTCTTCGTCTTCCTCTTCTTCCTCCTCCTCCTCGAGATCCTCATCCTCGTCGCTGTACTCCTCCTCTGGCTCCTCCTCGTCGTCATCGTCGCCTACATGTTCCACTATACGGCCGCGTGACGGTGGTTGGCCTGTATAGGATGACGGAATGCGTGAAGGTCGCAAGGGGAATTCGCGGTGAGGGGGCAGAATATGCGGTCCTTCTCCGTTGTTCGCAAAGGTCTCGAGCTCCTCATAATAAGCGTCGTACAGGCCTTCGAGTTCCTCCTCAATGGCGGTGCGCTTCCTGCCACAAACAGTACAGCTGCATGTATGCTTTTGCTGCTCCTTCATCTTTTTCAGGACGGCGTCCTTTTCGACCTTGACTAGCGACTTGCGCTCGTCTTCGCCGAGACCCAACCAGAACTCCTTGATGCGCTCCCGCTCCTCCTGCGAGCTGGTGTTCCAGATCTTATCCTTGGAGATACCAGGGCCACGGGGCGTCAATGGCGAGTGGGAGTGAGAATGAGGAAACGGAACACTGTCGTACTGGCTGTTGGCTAGCTGCGGGTTCTTTCCGTTCTTCTTCTTCTTCTTTTTGGACTTTTTGGATTTGGTCGCGGAGAAGCCGTTGGCATGGGGCCGGTCGTCGGTAGAGTGATGGTCTTCGGGCTCGTCGTCGCTGGACTCCTGATCCTCGTCATCTTGGGCAACCTGGGGTTTGGGCGCGGGCGCACCAGGAGCAGGACTCGGGCGACGTCCGTTTGGTGGTTGGACAGCGGCTTGCTCGGCAGCAGCTTTGGCGGCAGCCTTTGCCCGACGCTTCTGCTTCTTTCGATTCACAGTAGGCGCTGAGGGGTCAGCACCGTTGGTATCGAGGGTCTGGACGCTGGGCGCCTTTGCCGACAAGGTCGGAGTAGAGGGTTGCGAGGGTTCGGCGGAGGGAGGGCCTTTCGGGACGGTGATGATCTTGGAGCCATCCTTGTTTGTGTATCTCGCGGTGGACTTTGTATTCGGTGACGCTGGCGTCTGAGCTGCCGGCTGGCGATGGTTGGCCGGCATTTCTAGTCTCTGCTACGAAGCAAGCGACGTCGATGTCATAGAGAGGGATAGATGAAGGGTAGTTTGCGGTTGTGGGTGCGGTGGGGGAGTAAGCGCTGGATTCGGGTTCGACGAGAGGGATAGAGAGAGAGGTGAAGTCGAGCTCGAATTCGGCGGTCGGTCGGGTTCGAGAATGAGGCGATACTGGGTGAGGTAAAGCTATGTGGAAAGATGCGTAAGCAGAAATAAAACCACAGCTGCC